TACTACTACTACTACTACTACTACTACTACTACTACTACTACTACTACTACTAACAACAGCAACAAAAACAACAACAACAACAACAACAACAACAACAATAGCAGCAGCAGCAGCAGCAGCAGCAACACAACAAAAACAGCAACAACAAGTAAGAGATTAGGTTGGAGGTTAACAGTTCATGGTCACAAGCATCTGGTCTTTACGGGCTACTATTTAAAGAATAGTTGTAGGTCCATAATATTCAGACATGGCGCGCGATGTGAGGAGCACGGTTGTGACTTCTCCGTGTAACGTGTAATGTGCACCGGCATGTGACAATTGATACCCTCATCCTACTGGGTCGGAACCGAGGAGGGTGGGAGGGGGGATGGAGGGGATAAGTAAAGGCGTTAATAAATGCACACCAGCAAACAGTTCAGAACTCCTTTGTTTTGTTTTATGCAGTGTGGGATTTGCCGGGTCCTGTTTGTTGTGACAAAAACAGTAATCCGCTCCCAGCCCCCTTGTCTACCGCAGACGAGGCAAAGACGTCTGAGCCAGGCTTCTGCTGGTCTAGATAATCTGATAATTCTAAAAGACTAAACGGCCCACCTCTAGCTGCAATCTATGAAATATAACATACACTTTGTAGGAAGAACTTTTCAACATCTTGACAGATCTGAAAGTAGATGGAAAAGACCTAAGAATCTCTAATAATCGTTACTGGGAACAGTAGGCAGCTATCAGGGTCGAGAACGAGCTCTGCGAATACAGGACAATCAGGAGAGGAGTGCGATTTATAAGGATGTGTTATCTCCGGATCTCTTTGATTTATACAGCAAAATTATACACGGGCCCGACGTTATGTCCTTGGGAAAGGCACATTACACGAATTTTCCTCTCTTCACCCAGGTGGAAATGGGTACCCAGCTATGGACAACGAAAGATCTTGTCAGTATTTTAGTGTTTCAGCGCCTATAAATGGCTGCTTGCACTGTATGCTTCCCAGGAAGTTTAGTTTGCTTCAGAATGCTCTCAGGTCTGCTGGGGTAATAAATTATGAAGCGCATATATCTTGCTGTTGTGCGGGGATTTGCGCTATACAAATGCTATCTATTATTACATGTATAACATCAGCGATATAATATAAGGAGTGAGGGTAGATCTAGGCGGCCACAATATGAAAAACCTAATGTATGCCGACGATTGTAATGATAGCTGAATCCGAACTTGACTGACATAGATAAGCGAAGAGAAGGGGCTGCAACTGAATGCCAAGAACACGAAATGCATGGTGACCTCTAAAAGAGCCTGCACGCAGAATGCAACATTGCGTCTAAAGAACGATAGAATAAAACAGGTCTACCTTGGTTGGTTGCACAATTTTATCAGATGAACACTGTGATGCAGAGATTAAAAACATGAATTAAATATCTATAAAAAGACTTTCAACAAGACAAAACCTCCTCTTTCAAACAGAAATATAGCAATGAACACAAAGATAATAGCCAGGAAAGCGTAGCCAACGTGTGGCCAATCTTATTGTATGAGTGCGAGAGCTGGACTCTAAAGAAGGACACGGAAAGGAGACTGGAAGCCGCCGAAGTGTGGTGTTTAAGGAGAATACTCAGACTCTTATGGACAGAGGGGAAAACAAACAGAGAAGTGCTCCAAAAGGCAGGTTGTGAAACGCTTATGAAAAGAACCACCAGAAAGAGGCAATGAGATTTGTGGACCACATAAACAGGTCAAAATGACTTGAGAAACTGAAGCTGTATGGACAGAAGGGCTGAAAAAGACAGAGAACAACAAACCCAGAAATAGCCTGAGCAACTTTGCGACAAACAACACAACGAGAAAACATGAGCTGAACAGAATGACAGACAACAAGAAAGAGTGGGGTACCATGAACGCCAAAGTCTGCCTACGATCGGTTCGACTGGGAACTGTGAAGTTTAAAGTCTACTTAGTAAGGCTCCTTACCTTCAGACAGGCACGTTACGATTTCAAATGTAATCTATATGTTTTTATATGACTAGAGAAATTTCCAATTTGGAATTTTGCCCGGATGGCGTCTGAAGACTATTTATATCGATTTTATGACCAACAAGGGATCTTTCACGAGCGCAACTTGCACACGGGACGTCAAGTTTTTTTCGCCCTTATGCGAGAAGGCTAGGTGTTCGACTTTACCTACCCTAAGATCAGGAGAGTGGCTGAAAGAGAGCAGTAAGAAGGAGCTAAGAGAAGCAGTACTTGTAGAACGAGTCGGGAGTAAAGGAAAGAGGTGGGAGGGCGGAGATTGGTGAGGGAGTAGGGGGGGGGGTCAGGTTTTGAACCCGGGATCTATTGAACGAGATGCGAACACAGTACCCTCAGACCGAGAGAGCCCCCACAAGAGGGGAATGATTTTTTTCTTCTGATTATATGAAAAATCTAAGGAACAGTGATAACAATATCGGCTGGCCCCCTTCTGCTCCATAGACCGTTCACTTTCTTGTGGTCACAATTTCTGCAACTTTCTCAAAAAGTGACTTGTATGCCCTGACTTTGTCACGCATTTTTATATTTTGATTGACAGCAATATTTTCATGTGTTTTTATCTTCACGCTGAACATTTTATTCAAACCGGCGAATTCCTTTGATCTGTTATGGATTATCATAAGATTACTGACCTGAAAATTCAACTTTATCGTATAGAAGGCATATAGACATTGACATTTTAGACACAACTTTGGGGCGTTAGATCTAGTACGGAAAAAGAGTGCAGCGAATAGAAGTTACTGTGAGCGCTTGAGTGAAATCGAGCAATCAGGTACCCCTCGGGTTCGATTTTCGCAGGACAAAAAATATTCCTGATGGTCTTGAGCATTTCAAATTATGTCTAAATTTGCGCTGCAATAGGTCAAGAGAAAAGTGAGCATTAGCGATGATAATGTGGGCACGAGGAAGTTATGAATGTGAACCGAAATATTGCTGAAATGAAACAGTGTCCCTCTCTTTAAGATAAGCATTGGCGTAGTAGTTTTGAGTTTCCTCATACCCCTTTATAAACGTTATGCTCATGTTCATGTCTCCCCCCCCACCCCACCCCTTCCTCACCCAATCCCCTTACCTCTCCCTTGAAGTGCTGACATTTCAGATCTATTCGTGCACCACAGTGAGAGTTCACCAACATGATGCGATTACCAGCGTTGCTCACTCTTGGGCTTCTAGCCGCACTGTCTTGGACTCTCACACAAGGTATTTCATGTGTCACGCTCAATTTATTGTCAATCTAACTTTCAGTCCCTTTGTCTCATTATTTCACTTCCGAATTAACTCTTGGCCAAATTTACTTCTTTATTCAATTTGATATCTATACATTGATGTAGCTATGAAATTAATACATTAAGTTGCTGTTTATTAAGTTATTTAATGTGTCCCTTTGGAAATACTGTTGCCAGTCAATACACGACTGACTCATTAAATCAATTAACTTGCAATTTTGTCAGTCATTTTGTTAGTCCATTGACCCTGTATTTGTTTCTTGTTGTTTTTGTTTGTTCGTTGTTGTCTTTTAAGTTGATGCGTCACAAATTGAATTAATTAAATGATCTTTCGTTATTAGTCATAACTTAAGAATGGGAATTTATATTTCGTAAATTAATCATTTAAATTAAGTCTGTATGTCTGTTGTCTGCTTAGGTCATTATTTCTTTATAGTGGCTATACTTGACAGTCATTTAATGTTTGTTATACATGTATTAAGGGCTTAGTCAACTAGTCCATTTTTAAGTAATGGAGTTCGTTCAATTAGATTTTTTAAAGTCCATGAATCCTAGAGTGATTAAGACAGCAATCTGCACTTCATTGAGGAAGTTGGTGGGGCAGTTCGTTAGACTGTGAATTAGAAAGTTGCGTTGTTTGACACACACGAAGCTCTGTGTGTAAAAGTGCAGATATTGAACCACCGTGCAAATACATCGCAGGATGAGGCCGCACCATTTGTATAACCACAAGTGACGGAGATTTCACCAGAGAAATATGTAGACGTTTTGAAACAGAAATGCAAAAGTTAAAAGAACTGAAGATTCTTTGTCAGTATGGACATACGGAAATGCGTGTAGGCACTCTCTATTGCCATCTACGGGTATGAATCATGGAAGTCCATGAAGGAAAAGCGATAAAAATCATTTGGGTTTTATACCCAACAAACTACTAAAGGTGCCTTGGTCTCAGAAGAGAACTATTGTCTCAATTCTGGAGAAAACCCCCCCAAAAGAAGTAAAGGTCGTCCTGTTCCTTGACTCAACCAGTAAAAGAAAAACAGATCACTGCGGCCATATAAGGAGAAATAACATTTGTGAAGGAAATGCTACTGGAATACATCACAGGGGAAGCCCGTAAAAGAAGAGATGGAGTCTGGACTTTTCTGTACAAGAAGAGATTAAAAGAATATTGTTTCTTTCAGAGAGGGTCGGGAAGGCTATGCCCCGAAAGGGGCATTCTCTCAAGTTGGGTATTGTATGCTACTAGTAACATGGCAGTCACAAAGCGAGTGGACCCGATGGAGTAAAAAGTAAAATTATTAAAATGTGGTCTACTCAGTTATCTCCCATTTATACTGATATTTTCAATATGTCTTTGAAAGAGCGAATAATACCACTTTCATGGAAATGCTCTGAAATAATTCCTGTCCCAAAGAAACAATGAATACAAAATGTGAACGACCTAAGACCTGTGGCTTTAACAACAGTCCTCAAGAAATGTTTAGAAAAACGTGTTTTGAAAGAACTGAGAAAATCAACAGAAGACATACAGGATAACATACAATTTGCCTATCGTGCCAAGAGGGGCGTGGAGGATGCCATTCTCGTGTTCTTAGATAACATCTACAAACACATAGACACACCAAGAAATTACTGCAGGATACTTTTGGTTGATTTTTCATCCGCATTCAACACAATCCAACCGCACATAATGGTTTCAAAATTAATTAATATGAACATAAACAAGAACATTATAGCTTGGATTCTTGAGTTTTTAACCAATCGACCTCAATATGTAAAATTAAATGGTGTAAAATCCGACATGATATTCACGAACACCGGTGCTCCCCAATTCTGTGTAATCTCCCCTGTCTTGTTTACGCTCTACACCAACGACTGTACTTTTGATAACAAAAACATCCAACTGATAAAATTTGCGGATGATTCCACTGTACAAGGCCTTATAACAACAAATGAGAATGATACAGGGACGTTGTGAATCTATTTACAAATTGGTGTGATAACCACTTCCTTATACTAAACGTAAAAAAGACAAGGGAATTAATAATAGACTTTAGAGTATAAAAAGACCAATTGCAACCGCTATTTATTAAAGATCAAGAGGTGGAGGTGGTAAGCTCTTACAAGTATCTTGGTGTAACAATCGACCACAAACTTGACTGGCATCCCCACGCTGCTCTTGTGCATAAAAAAGTAAATCAAAGAATGTTTCTTTTAAGGAAATAAAGAAGTTTCCGTGTTGACCATAAGATTATGTCCCTTTTTTTTTACCATTATATGATTGAAAGTGTGCTATTATTTTGTGTTTGCTGCTGGGGTGGGAATTGTAAGGTGAAAGATCAAGAACAATTTGACAGAACCATTAAGAAAAACAGATTACTGCGGCCATATAAGGAGAAATAACATTTGTGAAGGAAATGCTACTGGAATACATCACAGGGGAAGCCCGTAAAAGAAGAGATGGAGTCTGGACTTTTCTGTACAAGAAGAGATTAAAAGAATATTCAGCAAGATCTCTGGATATGATTTTATAAGAATGGATGAAATGTATAACTGCAAACAAATAAAAAAGATAAAAAGCATTATAAACGACCCATCACACCCCTTTTTCACACAAATTGTAAGATCACGCAGCGGCAGATATGTACATCCTAAAACAAAGAAAGAAAGATATAAAAGAAGTTTTTTACCCTCTAGCATAAGGCTTTTGTCAGAATGAGCATAGATGTGTGTTGCTCTTAGGGTATGTATCTGTATATAACTCCAAAGGTCTAGTATTTAAATTCCTGCATGTGGTTGAATGATGCATTTGATGTAAATGTACATTTTGTCTGCTTTACGTCTCCTTTCATGTTAATTTTAATGCGAGTAAAATATATAATTTAGATTTTTTAATGTATAACTGCATAGGTTTTTATGGTCCTGTACAGCCAAGGAAAATTTCCCTCTGGGATAATAAAGTACTATCTTATCTTATCTTATCTTATCTTATCTTATCAGACTTCTACTCCTTACTGCGAATAACCTCGCTGTCAGAATACCAACCACTTATCCAACAAATAGCCAGTAAAAGAAATATCAACGACATTGGTAGTGCTATACAAGGGGGGTTCAATAGGTCTTTGGTCTAGGTTTGAAGGAATCATTGTAGAGTAATGAAATTTCGCAAGCCCTTTGATAATTTCTTTGGAACACACCATGCAAATTTTCAAGAAAATCCGAAAATAATTAGGCAATAGTCGGCGTGTTCAATGAAACTATGCACAAAAGCGTTTGTTTTTCTTTGTCGAAGCTGTGCCATGGAGCCTGTTAAACATCGCTCAATTATAAAGTTTTTACACTTGCAAGCAGAATCCCCTACCGACATTTTTCAAGAAATGGTCCAAGTTTATGGTGACAACTGTCCTCGTAATAATACTGTGACATACTGGGTCAGAAAATTCAAATCTGGATTCAGGTCGATGATGGATGAAGATCGTGAAGGACGCCCATCCTTTGTGGTAACTGAAGAGAATGTATCCATAGTGAAGAAACAGGTTCTACAAGACCAACGTATAACTGTTAAATAGCTCTCAAGTGAAACGAGAATCAGTGTAGGGTCAACTGAAACGATTGTCCATGACCATCTTAACATGAATAAGGTGTCTGCGCGCTGGGTACCCCGCCTTTTGACAAGTGAACAAAAGAAGCTGAGGGTTGCGTCCTGCAAAACTCTCCTTCGAATTGAGTCCAATGACACAACTTTCTTTCAAAACATGGCAACTTTGGATGAAACATGGATTTGTCATTTTGATCCAGAAAACAAAATGTCCTCCATTCAATGGAATACCCCTTCTTCTCCATCACCAAAGAAGGCAAAGGTAACACCGTCCAGTGGAAAGGTAAAACTGTCGTGTTTCTAGGACAGAGAAGAAATCGTTATGACTGAATACCTGTAAAGTGGAAAAACAGTCACAGGAGACTACTACTCGGGTTTGTTGATAAAGTTGCGGTCCGAATTGTTGAGAAAAAAACTACAAAAACTCCGTAGTGGGGTCCTCCTTCTGCGTGACAATGCCCCTGCGCACAGCCCACAACACGCAGTCCAGATAGCAGAACAGTGCGGCTTTGAAATCCTGCCACACCCAGCTTATTCTCCATACCTAGTACACTCAGACGGTTTTTTTGTTTTTTGTTTCCTAATCTTTAAAATCCCTCAAAGGAGGTCGTTTCCATGACAGTGAGGACGCCGTTGAAGGTGTTGAAGACTGGTTAGGGGCCCATTCTGGGTTATTTTTTCTGAATGACTTTCGAAAGTCAAATAGAGGTAACAGAAATGTGTTACTCTGCTTGGTGACTATGTAGAGAAATAAAAGTATGTGTGCCAAGTTGCAAAGCTCTATCTTTATTCTTTCATATTTAGACCAAAGACTTCTTGAACCCCCCTCGTATAGTGTCATATCACAGACTCGCAGACGAGAGCAATTTTTAGCGCGCTGTGCTCTCCCGAAAATAACTACATCTATGTGGATACATCGAACAAACTTGTGAGATATTACAACTAAACGTCAATGTTCGTTATAGATTGTGGTTTCTTTCAAATTGTTATACAGTAGTCTCCGCCTAAGATCCCACCGCTTACGATCCCGGTTCGCTTAAGATCCCGCTGTTTGAAGAAAACAGAATTTTTACT